CTTGACTAAACCATCAAGCATCTGTCTAGCTTTGTCTTAAAAGCATTCAAGGACAGAAACTTCACAACCTCTCTGCGTAGCCTGTTCCAGTGCTTAACCACCTCATAGTGAGAAAGTTCCTCCTAATAGCCAACCTGTGCTCCAATCCTCCATCCTCTGCTTCAGTTTGAAACCATTCCCAAGTCCTCTTGTCATAGCCCTTGTTTTTCAGACCAAGGAGTTCTGGGAAAGGCTCTTCACCAGATGCATTTGCTACTTCTTAATTACCATCCAGCAGACCCCTGGAAAATGGTCCACCCAGTTTGCAGAAGCTTATTTGCCTACCTTGTCCTTCTCTCTCTGAAGGTGGTGGAAATACTCCTGCTGGCCTAAATAGTAAGGGAGTGAAAAACTAAGGCCAAAAACTGGACCAACATTTACTTCACATCAAATTAGCCCACTGCCAGAAGCCAGAGGAAGGCATTCTTCTAGAACAGCGTTAGGTTTATGTGGGGTTCATTACTTAACCTCCTGCGTATAGTTTAGCAGATCATTCAAAGCAAGTCATACAAGATTAAAAAGCAGTCCGTTGACTGTCACTCAGCATGGATATTATTTACAGCAACATTTTTTCCACATACACTTTACATCACCATGCACAAAGTAGTCAGAGGAGTTGCCAAATGCAACAAAGAGCATTTCTACAGTTCTCTCTCTTCAAGCCTTTATTTTTCTTTCAAAAGCATCTTCTAATGTGATCATATTACTTTATTTCAGACCTTGGGCATGAAAAGTAGCACACGCCCTTTCCTTTCATCTTTATATGTAAGACAAATAGCTGCTTGCTTGTTTCTGTTAAATTAGAACGAACTGTATGACAAAACACATAAAACAAAAATCCTTCAAGCATCATTCCCTTAAATCATTGCTTTGTGGAAGTAAAGAAAGTGGTTTTTCAGAGTACGAAAATATTATTATATGTCTTGGCTTTGTGGCTTCAGTTGGAAGACCAGAGGAGAACGTTTAATTTACTGAAAGAGATAAATTTGTCTCTGCTTTGAATTTCAAGTCCATCCTCAGGCATATTTTCCTGCTCAATAAATAATTATTCTCACTTTGTCAAAACTGCTGCCACTGTGTGTAATGAACTCAAAGTAAAATCTCACAACTCTACTTCATTCTTTTACAGAAAATATTTTGATGAAGCCAAAACAGAAGGCCAACTGATGCCACCCAATCCAAAGCAGATTCCCAGCTAAAATGAATAGGTAGGTCGTGCTTCTAAACTAATGGTATAATATGACTACCAGCAGACACCAAAGTTAAATCTTCACCTATTTTACTACTAAATCCTACCAAATCCAAAGATTTTATTAGGACTATTTACCTTAGGTAAGGTAAACAGGGCTTGAATTCCTAGGGGAAAATCTTCCTCTTGAACTCATTTCAAAATTAGCTCATGTCTCCAGCATGAATACCAACAGACCTTGACAATTTTATCCCCCCTACTATAACTGCATATGCTGCTTTTATTTATAGGCGTGTCTAATCCTTTTCAAATCTTGCTAAGCTTTTTATCCACAAAATATCATACAATAGCAACTCCTAAGGTTTCATTCTACATTGCGTAAAAATGTTTTACGCAGCCACTTTAAATGTACCTCACAGCCTCACCCCCCACTCCCATGCACATATTACAGTTATTCTCAAAGTAAAAAAAATGCTAATTCCCACTGGATTCTAATCTTATAATCTGGGATACCTTTAGCTCTGGAAGCAGACAAAGAACACTTAACATCTCTTTCCATCTGCATTATAAAGCAACATCAGTTACTTCACTTAACACTGACATTACAGATGTGTCATAACTCTAGTGTTAAAAAGCCTGAAGTGTCTCAATTACTGCTATGCTTGCTTTTGAATGGCAACTACTTCCTTCGGAACTGTTCCTCGGTATTTTAAGTAACATCATCTCCAAAGAAATCGATGACAACTGAAGGCAGAAGTCAATTCAGAGTATCAACTTCTAAGTGGGTGATGGTTAAAGAAGTGCAGAACTGTACACATCTAACAGTCTGCAAAAATGTTTCTGGTTTCTTTCCTTTTGGCTTGCACCCTTTCTGTTTCAGGGTGTTTGGACTAACCCCCCCAAAAAGAAACTCACCTGAAATCATGGTGTTTGGCTTGTATTGGGATTGAACCCAAGCAGGAGTATAGTACTTTCTACACAACTGTGTGATTCAATGCAAGTTCAGCACAAACTCTGAAAACCTTTTGGAAAACCAAGATCAAGTATCAGCTCTTCAATAAAAGCTAAACCCAACCAATTTTCACTTGAAAAGGAGGATGAAGAGAAAGGGAAAAAAGTTAACTAACTAACCAAATATCTCTGGAAAAGTCTATCCTGTTTGCAATGTAAGTATTAATCTCAAGAATACTACCCACCTTACAGCAACATCAAGATTTCTCGGATAACCTAAACCTGACCTGTCCCAGGTACCTTCTGAATAGGGTTATTAATAATGTATAAGCTGTCTGAAAGCATAGTGTAAACAACACCAAATACAGACATGGTCACTGCCAGTTAGTAGTAATCCTATTCATATGCAGCATAGAAACTAAATTATAAATTAAAAGAAATATAAACGGGAAAGCATCAAAGTTGCTACAGTGGATGACAATAATGCATCTAGTTTAAGTTACAATGATCTCTCCCTAGTGTTTTTCTGGTACCTTCAGTGTTTTATTTTTAACAAATAAACAAACATACAGACAAACAAATTTAGGGGAAAAAAAAACTTAAACCCTGGATGGCTGCAAAACTATTACTGCCTACACACAAGAGACCAGATGTGCACGCCAGGAAATGGATGTCACAAGCATTTGTAGATCCAAAATAGAGAGGTCAACCTTAGGGGACGGCCTAGGTTAGGAGGCTAGTAGCAGGGCACAGTCTTCCAGGTCATGGCCACTTGTTCACATTCAGTCCTACCCTTTAGTGATTGATGGTCTATTTGCTGGCAATACTAGTCTAGCAGCGACAAAACCACATGCACATACATGCACACATCCTACCACAACCAGCTCCTGCCGCTCCTTCTGTTCACATTTCTAAAGAGATCTTAGAAGCACCCACACCAAGACCTGGCATCACTGAACATGCATATTTAAAAAAACCCCAAACTGTGAATCTCATTACAGAGGTACTTGGTTTGCTGTCCTAACTTTCTGGGGCCTTTCAACAGCACAAATAGGAAGAGTAAAATATTAGGTTCACCACCCCTAATAGAGACAGGGCTAAATGAAGCTTATGTTTCATTTTACAGTAAACTATTATTTTATAAAATATACTAGTTTATTACTTTCACAATCTACTGAGCATGTGCTACATGAAAATGGTTCATATAACACCACTCCATGACCAACACGAATAGGATGTCAATTTGGTAATGAATTATTGCTGACATCCCAAAATTGACTTCCTGTGTTTTTACACAAAAATGGCACAAAACCATAAGTCCCAATTCTCAAACTTCCCAAACCAATTCCTAAACCTTTTCTTATTGCGTCCCCCTTTCCAGATTTACCAGCTTCCCACATACCCCTACTAGCATACATTTTATATTTAACCCCTTAAATGCCAATTATTATTATAATGAAAATTAAATCTGCCATTGCACGATTTCTCCCGCGTACCCCCAGAGATGTCTTGTGTACCCCCCGGGGCACGTGTGCCACTGTCTGGGACCCCTACCATAAGTGAAATGGTAAAGCTTTAGACTTACATTTCAATTGCCCGGCCACAACCTAATATTTCCTCTTAGTTCTGTGCCATTAAATTACCTGGGTTTATTTTAAAAAAAAAACCCTTTGAGGAAACTCTATGGAAACTAATACCATAATTACTCATGAGAACCTGGAAGTTTTGTGATTCAGTGGATATAGGAAGAGCTTTCAGAATCAATCTAACTCACTTCAAACTGCCTTAGAGATCACCAGGACATTAATGCCACCCACTTGCTAAGGGAGTCTAGAAAAAAAAATGGTACACACAAACATTATAGTCAAATTTGAATGTTACTTCCTTGTTAATTTAAAAAAAAGAACCTAGATAATATAAATGGATAGTACAAGTCTGTAAAAAGAATAAAAACTGAGTTTAACTCCTATGAAGCTAAACACATTAAACACCATTTCCAATGATGTTTTAGCGCTAAGACTTCTAGAGGTCCAATTACATCTGAGGACTAAGACTTCTAGAGGTGATTTTTTTGTTTTGTTTTAAAGAAAACTAAAATGAACAGTCACCTATTAGAAGAGGGGTGTGCAAGAAACTGGGTGACACAAGCTTTCCCAGTGGTTGACACACAACCTACTCCTGGAAGTTACTAATTCATCAGATGCTTCCTGAGTTTCAGTGCTCAGAAGAAGGACTTGAAAAATCTCATTTGTGTTCAGGGTACAGCATCCAGGTTGTAGCTGTATTAGTCTAGAGGAAAAGGCAAGCAGGACTGGTAGTAGAGCTGATCTCTTTTCTTCGACCAACAAGATTTTTGCAAAAAACCCTTCTTTAATTGCAAGCAAGTTATTAATTTTAAAAAACTGCAAAAAATGAATAGCTTCCTTGCAATTAAAGAATATTTTCCCCCCAAAATCGTGTTGGTCGAAGAAAAGAGATCAGCTCTACTACCAGTCCTGCTTGCATTTGTGTTCGCAGCATTTTTCTCAGAACCTGCCAGGACCTGGAGCTACAGACCTGTCATCATAACTAACTAACCCCGTCTGCTGGGAGTAAGCGAAGATGGAGCTAAGGCAAGAGCGCCCCGCACTTTCTGGAGCGCATTTCCTGCGGGTGTCCCTTGTGGCCCCACAGCCGTGAGGCTGGCCCCACAACACAGGGCCAGGGAGCAGGGGGTGGCGACCCCTGCCTCGAGTTCACGCCCGGCCACCAAAGCCCGCGGGACCCCGTGTCCTGGGCCCCCAGCCCTCGCCTCGCCTCGCCTCGCCTCGGCCTGCCTTACCACAAGCGCGCAGCACAGGACGCGGTTCATGGCGGTTGGGGCGGGAGCGCTCCGGCGCGGGACGCGAGCAGCCCGCTGCATCCCGGCGCCGCGCCGCCCGCCTCTATATATAGCCGGCGGCAACAGGAAGCCCGGCAGCGCGGGTCGCTCCTACCAAACTTTCCTCTCTCTCTCTCTCTTTTTTTTTTTAAGGAACCTGTGAAAGGCGATGACTTCACGCGACCGCAGGCTGGAAACACGCGAGGGCGGGTCCGTGTCCCGGCGGGGGGGCGGCCCCGCACCTGCCCCGCACCCACAGGGCCCTCGGCGGGGGGAGCGGACCTGCCTGAACTGGGAGGCCAGGCGGGGTCAGGCCCGGGGAGGAAAGGAGCCGCTGCAGCCCCCTGCTCTGGGCAGGACACTGGCGGGGCCTGCACTCCCGGGGACATGGCGCCCCCGCCGGGGCTAGCTCCCGGAGATGCTGAGAGTCACCCCGGAGATCAATGACAGGCCACTCACTCAAATACAAATTAAATGCTGAATCTGATGTACGCAGCAGGCCAGCGGGCATGGCTGGGGGGGCATGGCGATCGGGGCGTGAAGGCGAGGAGCGGGAAGCTCTTACAGGTGGCCGCGGCGGGGGCTGGCAAACACTGACCGGCAATCAGCGACTGCCCACAGCGGCCAGCAGCGATCAGGGACCACCAGCAGATGCTGCCGGCGGTGCTGGTGGCGAGGGGCTGGGGGAGGTGAGTGGCGAGCACCCTCAGCTGCCACCGGCAGTGTCAGCAATGCTTTTTGGCCGGGGGTGCACCACAAACCTCAGGGAGTGCATGTGCTCCCACGTATGTGTCACCAATGCCAGCGGGTTTTTAAAATGTCATAGTAATATGCGTTTGCCTTACTGATGTAAAGTCATTAATGTCATTGCATCGTGTGATGAAGCGGCCAGGAAGAGATTCAAACAGAGTTGGCAACCCTATAGGAAGACTCTGGGGAACATCGCCCCAGCCCCACAGATCTAAATGAGAGGAGTGGGGCGGCCTGTTCCTATCGCAGCCACTCCCCGGGCAGCCCCCAACATGGATCCATGGGCCCTGCCACACGTTCAAATGGGTGCGGGATAGAAACCAGCTGCAGAGTCGTTGCATGTTTTCAAGCACTAACTTTGTAGCTGGTTGGCTCCTTTTGTAGCTGGACAGTCATTTTTATGGCATGGTGATGAGTTCACATATTGGGCCTGTCTACATTTATTGCGCCGTTCACCTGTGAATAATATATGTAACGTGTGGCAGGGGTCTGAGTTTCACTGCTGGCTTCTCCCTGTGTAGGGCCAGAGCTAACTTGACTTTAAATTACTGCAGCTTTCTGAGTTTCATAGTTTCATAGTTGTTAGGTGCTGGAAGGGACCTTACAGATCATCAGGTTCATTTGGGCACTTGGGCAGGAAAGACTGCTGGGATCAGATGACCCCAGCAAGATGGGCATCAAGATGTTTTTTGAAGATCACCAAGGTGATTGACCTCTGACCTTCTGCCCCCCCCCCCTTTGGCTCGGAGTGTTACAGCGTTTCCCCTTCTTGATTTGACTCACAACACTGCAGGGGTGACTGGAACTGGGAAGGAAAAAGCTTATGTGTCTGACAGGTGCTCCAGTGAGAGGGTCCATTTCAGTCTGGTAATGGAGGTGACCCTGAAAAGCAAAGTGAAGAAAGTATATCTTCATCCTTTGCCCACATGCAACTAATCAGGATAACTAGCAAACCTCCTGACAAATTGATATTAAGGCAAAAGATAAAGATTCTGTATTAAGCACTTCAGCATCCCATATACAGTATAAGCACTGAGGAACATGAACTAAGGAGAGTTCATTTGCAAGTGCCTGAGTTTTAAATCTCTGGGTTTATCTTGTGAATTGTGTTTGAACATCTAATGGTGCTAACATTGTGTGGCACCCCTGAAAGGATCTCAAGGCACCCTAGGATGTCATGGCACCGTGGCTGAGAATCACTGGACTAGATCATTGAGTTTTGAGGACTTAGGTAAAGCAAAACTTTCAGGGTGTCCCACCTTCCTGAAAGGGAACAGAAACCCAAAATACGACAGCACCCATATGTGTTGAAGGTGTGTGAAGTTTACCTCTGCCAACTGGGAAAGACTGGGATGTAAAGTACTGAACTCCCATTCAGCTTTATTATTGATAGTATAAACCTCTAATACGAGAAGAATAGAACGGTGTAATTGGAATTCAGTGTAAGAGCATCTTCGTGCTTTACATGGCTGAATGAAAACTTACTGAAGGAAGTCTTCCCATTTATTTCAGTGGGCTGTGGATCAGACTCTCTATTCCCATCACTAGCTGCCAACCAGGAATACTCAGGCCCTATCCCCACACAGAAAGCACAACAAAGCTTGTAGAAGCTAAGGCAAGCATGCAATCCATCTGCCTACACAGTCAGATGGATTGCAGATTGGCTGAAGGGTCGTACTCAGAGGGTGGTGGTGGATGGGTCATATTCGACCTGGGGAGAAGTGGGCAGCGGAGTCCCCCAGGGCTCAGTCCTTGGGCCCACGCTGTTCAATCTTTTTATCAGTGATTTGGACAACGGGGTGAAAAGCAACCTGTTTAAATTCGCTGATGATACCAAAATTTGGGGTGAGGTGAGCACACTAGTACGGAAGGAAAGTCTGCAGCAAGACCTGGATAGATTGCAGGGGTGGGCTAACAAAAACAGGATGCGGTTCAACACTGACAAGTGCAGGGTGCTGCACTTGGGCAGTAGTAACCAGCAGCACACATATAAGATGGGAAACTCCTTGAGAGCAAGGAGGCAGAAAGGGATCTTGGAGTCATTATTGACTCCAAGATGAACATGGGCTGACAATGCGAGGTCACGGTTGGCACAGCTAATCGGACCTTATCGTGCATCCACAGGTGCATCTCTAGCAGGCCAAGGAGGTGATCCTCCCCCTCTACATGACACTGGTCAGGCCACAGCTGGAGTACTGTGTCCAGTTCTGTGCGCCCCACTTCAGGAGGGATGTGGACAACACTGAAAGGGTCCAGAGGAGGGCCACCCGCATGATCCGGGGACAACAGGGCAGACCCTACAATGAGAGACTGTGGGACCTGAACCTGTTCAGCCTTCACAAGAGAAGGCTGAGGGGGGACCTGGTGACTGTCTATAAACTCACTAGGGGGGACCAGAAGGGTTTGGGAGAGACCTTGTTTCCCTTCGCTCCCCCTGGCATAACAAGGAATAATGGCCACAAGTTGTTGGAGAGGAGGTTTAGATTAGACATCTGTAAGAACTTCTTCACAGTCAGGGCAGCTAGGATCTGAAACCAACTTCCAAGGGAAGTGGTGCTGGCTCCTACCCTGGGGGTCTTTAAGAAGATGCTTGATGCCTACCTGGCTGGAGTCATTTGAGTCCAGTTTTTCTCCTGCCCAGGCAGGGGGTCGGACTTGAAGATCTACAAGGTCCCTTTCGACCCGACTTCTATGATTCTATGATTCTATGATTATTATAGCTTAGAAGGCATATACCAGCAGTTTATTATTCAGCGCCTATCAGGGCAGAGATCAAAGTGTCTTTCACAATGGAAGGCACTAACACAAAGTTTAAAAAAACATTTAAAAAAACTGTTCATCTTCAAGTGTGGTTATGGTCAGGAAAATGACTGTATCAAACTGGCATCCTCCTCAACAGATCTGCTCCCTGTGTGTCTGTGCGGTGTCAAATGTGCTGATTTTAGTGAAAAAATACTTTATTACTTCTTATTCCCAGTAGCACTGAAAAGGTATCACAGCTCTAAGAAAGAGATCTGGGTTCTCTTTGAGACGACTCATCCTAAACAAAATTGTTAACCAAGTTCCACATGCAAAGCCAAAGTATGCCTAATTTAGCGAGGACAATACGTTTTGACAGGTGCAAAGCAGGCAACATTTTGCTTATGGATTTTAATAGGTGATAATACCTGAACCTGAAAGTTTCAAATATCTCAAGGCAAATCTGTGGAGATGCCAGTTAGGTGGGACGAAGTATTTGTACTTCTATGCCAAGCATGTTTGATTTTGAAATCCTGAGTAGGCAATAAATATAGGATCCCACTCTTGAAAGCAGAACCACACTTTAGCAAGGTTTAAACTGCAGTTAAAATGTTTTCCCAGCTCCCTGCAAGCCTCCCCACTTTGCCTTTGGGAATTAGTTAGGTTGTGCTTTGCAAGGCAAAGAATCACAGGACAAGGTAGCAAACCCTGTAATAAAGACTTGGCCACTGCTTTCAGCATTGTTCAACAGAAACATGTAACTACACACCATAGCAGGGCAGGAAGACTTATACATTTATTTGTAAAAGCAAGCTACCTGTTCTTCCTTAACACAGTTTGCGAAGTGGTAAAATGTGCTTTTACATCAAGATTTCCTCTTTTTACCATAGTTTAACATTGTCAACACTTAAATAAAGAAAGCTAATTGTTTTTACTAGAAAGATCACTGGATTGTATTTTTTTAAAAAAGTAATACAAGCCAGTTATTTACTCCATACAGGAGCAAAAAAATGTTAGTTGCAAATGTTAAATCAATACATAAAACTTCTATATTTCAGGGTAAAGAGTGATCTTAGTTATGCAGGTTGAAATTTTTTAAATACAGCACATCTTTTGCAATATAATTAAGTGTTTTGGGTGGAATAGCAGTTTATTTATTGGTTTAGTAGTAGTCATTTTCTGACTCCAATATTTGTCTTTCCTTAGTTCTCATTCTCAGTATTTGTGTTACTGTCTTGGATGTTAAGATTGTTATAAATCTATTTTTTTCCTGTGCATCATTATAGTAACTAGGTCTATAAATGGGTCTGCTCTTTAAGCCTGTCTGCTACCTGGAAAAACTCACAAGTCCGGACCAATGACTCGATGCTAGCAGGTGACTGAAAGCTGGATAGCTGAGTCATCCCAATATATCAATTAGATATGTGTTGAGCTCAGTCAACAAAAAGTGGGAAGATTCTGGCTTCTGGCAGTTACTATTCACCACATGTTACTTTTAAAGAACACTAAGAGCTTCCTCATTAACAGATTTATGTCACATTATGGGGAGGGAAGATCATAATAAAATAAATCACCACTGAAAGCAAGAGAAACTG